AAGACCAATTCATGCATGAACTACTGAGGCAACAGAAATTGATGGGCTAAGTAAAAAACTGCCTTCCTGCTGAAGAATTAAAAAAAAAAGTCAGAACTGTTGTTCTGAAGGTTCCCTATTTTTTGAATGATAAGGAGATGTTATTGATTTTAAAATCAGCTAACCACAAGTCCTAGAGATCTTATGGCTCAAAGAGATGTTTTCAGTTTTAGAAAACTAACATTTCAGAGAAAAAAAAGCTAAAAACAACTGTAGTCATCTATGACTCTTTTTGAAAAACATACATTAAAAGGGATTTTTTGAAAACTAGGGTTTGGAAATTCATTATTTGTCTTTGTGATGGGATAAAAATATATTTTGGATCAAGGGAACTTCTGCAGGAAATTCTATTATGAGTAACAATGCTAATTTGTGCAGGAAAATAATTTCATAACATGACTAGAAAATGTTATAGTTAACTGTTTCCTTTTATTAAATACAAGTAGTAAAGCATATTAAGACTATTAGTAACTTAAACCTACCATAAATTTACATCTGGTTTCTCAAACAGTTCTTTGGACTATTTAGAATCAACTTTTTTTTTTTTTTTTTTACCCAGAGATTAAACCCAGGGGAGTTAAACACTGAGCCACATTTCCAGTCCTTTTTAAATATTTTATTTAGAGACAGGGTCTCACTGAGTTGCTAAGTGCCTCACTAAGTTGCTGAGGCTGGCTTTGAACTCACAATCCTCCTACCTCAGAGCTGCTGGAATTACAGGCATATGCCACAGCACCTGGCTAGAATCAACTTTTGATGGGAAGGAACATCAATGCCTGAGGATGGGTCAGGATATCCGAAGAGAAATTTTATCAATGCAAAATAACTCCTTTGGCAGGACATAAATGAAGAATGTAAAACAGCAGATCTCCTCCATAGCTATATGTGGTTCAGTAAAGTTCTCTATATCAACTGAATGCAACTTTAAGCAATTCAATTTAGTGCTGATATTCTGGGAAACACTGTAGTAGTTAACTATTGTCAATAGTGTGGTTATTTTTGAGCAAACCTGTCTTAGTCTTCAGATCTTGTGACCTAAGCAGCCTCCACATTCAAGCAAGTTGAAAGGATTGCTGTTGACACATGATCACTTGAGCCCCATCCAAACATATGGATCCTCTTCTGTTGGCTTCTGCAACAAAAAGGCAAATAAGCACTACATAAACTAGAAAATGCAGAAAGAGTAATGATGCAATAGAAGAGAGTAAGACAGTAGAGCTACAACTTTCTTGGCATAGATACAAAGCTAGTTGCCTAATGTAGTTCTGAGATAGTAGCTATCTATGAAAACCTCTACCATTTGTCAGTTTACTTAAGGGAGGAATGAGAAATAAGAAAATTTTTAAAATTCTGCTTCATAAAAGTAACTGAGGAGGCAAAAAGAGTTTAACTTACTTAAGATCTTGCAAATGGTAAATGATGAAACTGGAATTTGAAAACCAGAAAATCTAATTTCAGAGACTTAGTTCTTAAGCAATACTCCACAAGATTCCAAAGTCTTATCCCCTTATTATTTCCTCAACAGAAAGCCATTTTCTTTAGTAATTTTGTTAAAATTATAGCAGATGGCTTTAACTATTCTTTAGTATAATGGTTCATTGGAAAAATTGTACTTTAGAGATAGTAAAATAGTGTAAAATATTGAGTTAAACTCTTTTTTTTCCACGCTGAAAACAAACAGTAATGTTCACTTCCAGATAAAACTGAACAACTAGCAATTCAAGCCTTCCAATCTCAGTTGGATCCTCCAAAATGGCCATTCAACCTTTTTATTTGTTTTTCTCCATTCTTCTTAGTTACAAGACTTTTTCCATTACTTTCTCATTTTTCAGTTGCAAAATGAAGACATTTCCACATTCCAGGATTTAACTCCCATATCCATCTCTTCATACAATATTGTCTGCAGTGTCACTAAGGAAATTGAGCCCATCATGAACTCCCTCCTGCCATACCTACAAATTTCTCCACATGTTCACCCATCCTTTTAGTATTTCTTAAGAACATATGTTCTCCTCTTCTAATGGTCCAAATTCCCTATTTATGCTCTTGGCTCAAATTTCTCCCAGTTTTTCTAGAAACTTAAATTATTAATTTTCTAGTCTGTCTCTTGTGTTGTGGTACATTGTTATGGTGCCCACACCTTTAATAAGGGAGAGTAATTCACCCATGATCTCTGTAAAGTGCAGCCATATTTCTTACCATGTAAACTCTACCTGCTTGGACTAGAAGGGACCCTCTCTCAAAAGGCAGTTAATTTACAGATTAACCAGAGAGTTAAGACATAGCTTGACAAGAAAAGATAAGCAGGGCCCCTCACTTTTTTTTTTTTTTTTTTTTTGCGGTGGTACTGGGGATTGAATTGTGGGCACTTTACCACTGAGCTACATCCCCATCATTTTTATTTATTTATTTTTTTTTTGAGAAAGGATCTTGCTAAATTTCTGAGGCTGGCCTTGAATTTGTAATCCTCCTGCTTCAGCTTCCTGAGTAACTGGGTTTATAGGTGTGTGTCACCACATCTGGTTTAGTGCTTCTCATTTTATTAAAACTTTTCAAAGGCTCACTACTCTAAGATCTAAAGATCTTTTATAAAGTGAAATGAGTGAATTTTTATTACTAGAAAAGATAAATGATCTTTGTGGCCTGTCTTGTCTGTGAAGTCATTTATTAAACATTCAGTGGAAGTAAGTTCATACCACATGTTTAATTGCTGATGAACTAAGCATTTGAGTCCAGGAATAATAAACCAAACATTATTAATGATAAAAATAGAATCTGTTATAAATTGTTTTTAAATACATCATCTGGTTCTCATGATAATCCCACAATGTATGTTCTGATATTCCTAATTATCAGATTAAAAAAAAAACTAAGGCTCAGAGAATTTAGTTAATCAATATCACTCAGTTAATGACTGGCAGAGTTTGGAGTCTAGATTCAAAGCTTATGGACTCTTTGTCCTCCTTATACTCTTTTTTTTAAAAAAAAACATTTTTAGTTGTAGTTGGACACAATACCTTTATTTAATTTTTATGTGGTGCTGAGGATCGAACCCAGCACCCCACACATGCTAGGCAAGCGCTCTACTGCTGAGCTACAACCCTGGCCCCTGTCCTCCTTATACTCTTAATCTGGCTTTTAACTAGTCAAAAACAAAGGCATAGCTTATTTTATTTTATCATCTTAGCATGATATCAAGAAGATTAAAGTTGGTTTATATAAGTATATAAAATATCAAAAACAGAACTGGGGATATAGTTCAGTTGGTAGAGTGCTTGCCTTGCCCTGGGTTTAATCCTCAACACGGAAAAATAAAAGAAAAAGAAAAATAGTAAAAACAGATGAGAAATTAGAAAGGAAATAAAATCAAGCTAGGAGCAAGTTTAATGTATCAGGATGTATGTTACAGGGATTTTGTTTGTTTGTCTTTTTTTTATTTCTTAGTTTTGTTTCTCTATACTGCAGGTTTATAGGAACATAAAGCAGGGTCTCTAAACATTGCTTCATTAGGAAGAAGTAAATGATGCCTTTGGGAAGACCTATTAAATCCTAAGGGCTCAAGGGGTTGGGCATGAAAGGTGATCATTATTAACCATCTACATTAAACAAAATATAGTGAAATGTACTTATCACAAATGCTTGTAGAATAAACTTAGAAATATCAGGTACCACTGCCTATATAGAGTAAACATTAGGCAATCTATAAGAAAGAGGTGGATGTTCACTAAATACTAAATTGAGCAAAGTTCTGTGAAAATTTTACTGACCATGAATATTCAGGCATTGACAGTGTACAAAATAGTATATCAAAAAGCACACTCGTTTCCCTAAACATGGTTTCTTACAAAGAATGCCTTAAAAATTTCAGCATTCAAATTGGAATCTATTCTTTATTTTATCCATTTTCTTCCAGGTTAACATTTAGAGAGACACCTTTCTGAAACCAGTAAGTAGATGGTAATTGGCTTACCAAGAACAATATAGTAGTATCTTTGAAGGGAAAACTACAATTATGGAAACATGATACAATTTTTTTTGAGTTTGTATCACCATGTGACTTAATACTCATTCTTTTCCCAACTGACATGTATACTGAGGTTCAGGTGGAGAAACCAAGTTATTGATTAAATTTATGATTTTTGTGTAAAAACTTGAGAGCAATAACCTACTAAAATCAGCAGCTGATTTGAGTATGTAACCACATGGGAAGTGAGTATGGATGTGGAGTGGTGGTAAATATCATGTTTGCTTCACACAGCAGATGAGCTCACACTTAATAACGCGGTAAATCTTATGGGCCATGACTCAATGCACCCACATTATCATGATTGCTGTTTCTCTGCTTTGGGGATCAACAAGTGCAGAATTTTTGGGGTGCTGTGTTCGCTCTGCTAGTTCAGGTCAAAATAATAGAAAAGATTCAGGACTGAAATTTCTTAAGAACTAAGCCTCTTTCTAAGCCCTCTGTTCTGTCCGACTTATTTTTGAACTCTAAAGGGAGAAAAACTTTGGTCTCCAAGAAGCAACCTGCAGCAAAGGCCAGATATTTGCATAATCAAGTGTATTTTATACGTCTGCTTTAGAGTTGAAAAACACAGTAGAATGGGGTAAGGATGGTGAGACAGAGTCACCTATTGAAAGATGGCAGCATTGGAGACTAACGCTTGGTTTGGGCTTCATTCGCATCACTGAAAACCAAAGAGCCGGGAAGCCTTTGAAGACAGTCTCGGAGCCTCAGGCTAAGAGGAAACTCGCCCACGCCCCGGGTCAGCCCACGCCGGCTCCACATAAGCCACAGGTGCCCCAGTCTTCCCAGGGCAGCTCCACCTGCGCCACAGGTCGGCATCTCTCCGGGAGCGAACCGCTCAGCACCAGTCGCCACAGCCTGAGTTAACTGCAGCGCAACCAGAGCCGCCCAGGCCGGAAGAGCCCTCCGGGCCCGCCCCCGCCCGCCCGCCGGAGCCGGAAATCAGGGGGTCAGCTGCGGGTGTTTTGCCTTCCGCGGGCCGCTTGGCACGATGCTTTGTGGTCCCTGCCGCCTCCTCAGGGCCTCCGTAGCGCCCACCGCGGCCCTGGCTGCGGCGCTGCTTTCGTCGCTCGCGCGCTGCTCTCTCCAGGAGCCGAAGGACCAGGTGGCTTCGGCGCTCAGCCCCTACTTCGGCACCAAGACTCGCTACGAAGATGTCAACCCCGGACTACTGTCGGACCCCGAGGCGCCGCAGCGGGACCCAGAGCTGCTGGAGGGGAGCTGCACCCCGGTGCAGCTGGTGGCCCTCATCCGCCATGGTACCCGCTACCCCACGGCCAAGCAGATCCGCAAGCTGAGGCAGCTGCACGGGATGCTGCAGGCCCGCGGGCCGGGGGATGATAGGCCGGGCAATGCCAGCGATCGCGGCCTGGGCGCCGCGCTGGCTGACTGGCCGCTGTGGTACGCGGACTGGATGGATGGGCAGTTGGTGGAGAAAGGGCGGCAGGACATGCGACAGCTGGCGCTGCGACTGGCCTCCCTCTTCCCAGCTCTCTTCAGCCGGGAGAACTACAGCCGCCTGCGACTGATCACCAGCTCCAAGCACCGCTGCGTGGACAGCGGCGCCGCCTTCTTGCGGGGGCTGTGGGAGCACTACCATCCTGGGTTGTCACCGCCCGACGTCTCAGGTGACCGCGCGCCGCGGGGCAGATGCTCTGCCGCGTTCCCGAATCTTCCCTGGACTTCCCCACCCCCAGTCTCGCCTCACTTTGCTCTGTATCCTAACTTCTACCCTTCAGGCTGTGCTTTCTCTGGGTACAGGATGTTATGAACTTGATTATCTCTCCTTTCATGTGTACATTTATTTATTTATTTATTTATTCATTCATCAGATATGAATTTTAGCACCTTTTACGTACCGAACGCTGTAGTAGACTCTGGGATCCATAGCAGGAAAGGAGATGATCTTTCCCAAAATTTTTCGTCTCCCTTTTCCAAATTGAATTAACCACTTTTGAGTGCCAGCCTGTCTGTCCTTTCTTACCTCCCTGGCAGTTAGTTTTATGGTTGAAAACACTCTTTAAAAATGATATTTAGAACCTTCTTCCTCAGGCATTGCTTGTAATACAAGTTGGGGTTTTTACTCATCACCTTTTTCAGGTGTCTGGTCTAGACTTAACACCCGATTTAGGAAGCTGTTAACAAGCCTTATTTATGCCCTGCTTTTTCCTTCTGTATGGTTGTTGTATTTACTGTTATAGAGTTCCCTTATTGTAGTTGCGGTTCATTGTCAAAAGCAATACCTTACCTACCAATTGATTTCATACTTTTTCAAAATTTGAGAGATGAAATAGTAGTATCTTTTTTATTTATCAGGCAAAGAAGTTGAGCCCAAGGTTGTCCTCTAATTTGAGGACTAGTCAGGCCTGGAGTCCAGGTCTTCTGTTTTTCCAGAATGATACTTTTCCCATCAAAATGTTTTTATAGTCAATTATATTGTAGCAAACACCCAATGCCTCATATATACCACACATGTCTCACATTTGTTTTACTTAATCTTCACAACTCTTCTCTGAAGCTGATAGTACCCCCCACATTGAACCCAAGGGTACTTAACTGCTGAGCCACATCCCCAGCTCTTTTTTTTTTTTTTTTTTTTTTTTTAGTTTGAGACAAGGTCTTGCTAAGCTGTTGAGGCTAACTTTGAATTTAAATCCTTTTGCCTTCCCAGTTGCAGCAGCGATTGCAGGCATGGACACCTGCACCTGGCTCATAACTTGCTTTTTTAAGCATTACACTATACAGCTTCCTTTTGTCCTATAATATCTGATGAGAATAAAAACATAACATTTTTATGACAGAGAGATGAACAATTGTTAATAACTACTTCTAGGTTTTAAGGTATGAATTGAAGTGAGGAACTTCATTTAGCTTTACAGCCCAAATTTAAAAAACAAAACAAAACTGATTTATCATTTCTTCCATAGCAGTTCAGCAGTCTGCAAGGGGATTTTTCCACTAATTGTGTATCATGTTATTGCTTTGTGGGTAACTCAGTAAACTAACTTGTTACTTACTGAGTCGTGCTTTTAAACTATAACTAGGTTTTTCCTATTAGTTTGGGTGAAAGTTCCCTATAGGTTGCCTAAATTAGCTGAATTTTAATGTAGCACAACATATACTGGACCTCAGGGCATGAATGATGGCACTCAGATTGCATTGTGAAGATTGTCATTTGCCTCGGGGAAAAGCCAGGGATCAGAGTAGTTCAGGATAAACCCCCCTCTCACCATTTTTCAGTCTCAGAGATTAAATCCTTTGCCTAGCCACTTCATTATCCTACACAGACAATTGTTTTGCCTGTTGTGTAAATCTGGGCTTTTGAGGGAGACCACTGAATTAGATTTTGTGTTTTTATAGAAATAGAACAATGCATTTGTTTCTGTTTAAAGAGCAGCAGTAATTAGATAATAACAAGGATGAACCATCCAGACCCACAAGAGAAATCATATTTTGAGGGCACAGAAAAGATGACAAAGTTCTCTTATTTTCCTAGTGAAGTTGGTCTTTTTTGGGTTTTGGTAGTGGGGACTGAACTGAGGGACACTCTACCTCCACTGAGCAACATCCATCTCTAGCTCTTTTTATTTTATTTTGAGACAAGGTCTCCCTAAGATGCCGAAGCCAGCGTCGTACTTGTGATCCTCTTCCCTCAGCCTTCTTAGTTACTAGGATGACATATACTGGCTCCTGAAGATACTTTCTTAAGAACTATAATCCAATTAACAATTAAAGTGGGAGAAATGATCTATTTCAGGGACTATGCCTTCACATATATGTATATTTTTGCGTTGTATATCTAAAACAATGGTATAACTGTATTTGAATTTCTTAGATTTTGTGTACAGAAATAATACGTGGTGTTATTTTCATGGTGAATTATTGGAGGAATGATAATTGAGATGTTTTGAATATGGTTGAAAAACTTAAAAGACACCCCAGTAGTTGAAGCATGGTTATGAATGCTTTTCCAGTACATGTTTGCCAAGTTGGGGGAATAGCATACTGTTAAACGGAGTTACCTAGGATCTTCAGTTAAAAGATAAACCAAATCAGAAGCACTTAGCACAGTGAAGCCCAGTAAACTTGAAACTTTGTGTGTGCTGTCAGTAGTTTTTGTCTAAAGTAGAATCTTTTGTAAAGTAACACAGGGTTAGGAAAATTAATTAAGAAAATAAAACAATCTATTTAGATTTTGGTTGAGTGGAGAAACAGGTCTAATCTGTTAAATTCTCTCTCACCTTGTACCTAGAGACTGCTGGTTTTTAGTTTGCTTTCTGAAGTTTTCTGTGCCTGACAGAAACAAAACTTTCATAACACAGTTTTGCACTTCTTATGATTTTATTGCCTAATTATTTTTTTGTCTATGAGAAAACATTCATTTTGGTTACCTTTGTTTCATTGTGTAGTATTGCTTCAACACATTTTATTTTGGGTGTTGATTGTATTTTAGTATTTCTAGCATATTCTCTTTAAGAATTGCCATCATTATAAATGGGTAATAAAATTTTATACTTTGTCTTTCATGACTGATACATTATTTCAGATATGCAGATTAATGTCATTATGTTCCTTTTTCACACTTGAAGCAAAATTTTTAGTAATTTAAAAGTATCATTTATTGCCAGGGAGGCTGAGACAGGAGGATCACAAGTTCAAAGCTGGCCTCAGCAACTTAGCATGGCCCTAAGCAACTTAGTGAGACCCTGTCTTGAAATAAAAAGGGCTGGGGATGTGGCTCAGAGGTTAAATGCCCCTGGGTTCAATCCCTGATACCCATCATTTATGTCAATAATTTACATGTATATAACTTTTTTTTTCTTTCAGATATGGAGTGTGGACCTCCAAGCATAAATGACAAACTAATGAGGTTCTTTGATCATTGTAAGAAGTTCTTAACTGAAGTGGAAAGGAATGCTACAGCTCTTTATCATGTAGAAGCCTTCAAAACTGGACCAGAAATGCAGAGCATTTTAAAAAAAGTTGCAGCTGTTTTGCAAGTGCCGGTAAACAATTTAAATGCAGGTAATATATCTGCTGCATTCATTTGAACTGTGGCTTAAATAATTTTGAACTGTGAAAATGAAAAAATTAGGAAATTTAGTGTTATTCCTTTTAAAGGCCCAAATTGAATTTACATTCAATTTAAGAAACACCTCATGCTTACTATTTAAATTCATATTCTTCCAATATTATGTAAATTAAGGTATACAATTCTCTGTATTCTGAATTTTTTTTTTTTTTTTGTACTAGGGATTGAACCCAAGGGTATTTAATCACTGAACCAAGTCCTCAGCCCCTTTTTAAATTTTATATTTTGAGACAGGGTCTTGCTAAGTTGCTGTGGGCCTTGCTAAGTTGCTGTAACTGGCCTCAAACTTGGCAGTTCTCCAGCTTTAGCTTCCCAAGTAACTGGGAAGTCATGCGCCACCATACCTGGCTTGTATTCTGAAATTTTTTGAAAACCTAAACTCTGAGCATTACTTGTAAAAACAAAAAATTTTGTTTTCTGAATTTGCTTCATAAAGTTATTCAAAGAGACTCATAAATTCTTTAGTTTTTAAAACAGTTCAAAAGTACATGTATGAGAGTTTTTGAAAGTGAAAAGCGAAGTGGTATGTTTTTTGAGGCTTTTATATGTAGAGATGTTGAAAAGATAAGTAATCATGTCTGTCACAAGATATGTAAGGGCTGACTGCAGTTTATCATCCAAACTGGGACACTTTTTGAGAGTAAAAGATAATACTATTATTATTAATTATTCTGGGAAAACCAGTGGAAAACAGGGCACATGGTGACCTAAGCAATGGAAAATTAATAAAATTTTTTTCCAGTTTTTTATAAATTTGTAATCTGTAAAGCAGATGTTGACAAAAATAAATTTTTTTATAAAAATAAATTTTTATACATATATGTTCATGGACATACACACACAAAGATTATAAATTTTATTATATTGTGAATCAACTTCCAAGAGATTGGAAGTAGGAAATGTGGAGGGGTGAAACTATTTTTCAGTTAAGTCTGTTTTGGAGACCAGATGCTTTATAAGGATTAAAAAAAATGATGATGTCTAAACTATTATTTGAAATTGAGTTTTTTTTCCTTTCCGCAAACCAGCTGTACATTGGGGTCACCTGTGGAGCTTTAAAATTTTCTTATTGGGAAATAATTAAAACATGTAGGTAAGAATAAAGGCTGACATAATGAATACTGTATACTCGAAACTTAGTTTTATGCTTCACTTAGTTGCTCTAAATAGCACCAAGGACCTTGGGTTTCTCTCCTGGATCTCATTCTTTTTCTTTTCTCTCCAGAGACATTGTCATCAATTCATCACTTAATCATCCTCCTGTGCCAGTATATATGTTTCTGTACATAACTGGGATATTGTTTTGTGGATTTTTAAACTTTTAGAATGGTATCAAAGTGCATTTGAGTCTGAAATTTGATTTTATGCAACTTTGTATTTTTTAAATGTAATTTTAATCCTTTCTATTTTTATTTATTTATTTATAGTGCTGAGGATTGACCACAGGGCCTTGAATATGCTAGGCAAATGTTCTACCACTGAGCTATAACTTTAGCCTAGTCCTACATTTTAAACTTATACACAGAATTCCCCATGATATAAGTATACTAGTCTCTAGCCATTATTCTGTAGTAGAAGGTTTTTAAAAACTACTTTTAGGAGTAGGGATGTAGCTCAGTGGTAGAGTGCTCGCTTATCATGAGCAAGGCCTTGGGTTTAATTCACAGCACTGTGTGTGTCCCCCACCCGCCAAGTACATTAAAAACTACTTTTAGTCTCTGAATGGGTAAGGATTATTTGTGTTTTCCTGATGGAATAACCAAAAGGAACTTTTTTTTTTTTTTTTTTGATACTAGGGATTGAACTTGGAGTGCTTATTAACCACTGAGCCACATCTCAGCCCTTTTTATTTTTATTTTGAGACAAGGTCTCACTAAATTGCTTAGGGCCTCACTAATTTGATGAGGCTGACTTGTAATCTTCTTGCCTCAGGCTTCTGAGTCCTTGGGATGATAGGCATGTAACTACTGTGCCCAGCAAGAGCAACTTATTTTGGAGGCACTATAAGCATAGTAGTTGAAACAGTTGATCCTGGGATTGCACCGTTTGTATTTGAATTTTAATCTAACCGTGAATTATGATTTTTGCCAAGTTCCTTAATATCTCTATGCCACAGTTTCCTTCTGTATAAAATGGATATAGGAATTATATTTGCCCCAAAGGATTATTGCAAGGATTATCTGAGATTAATTTATGTAAGACATTTAGCACAGTGCCTGGCATAGTAACTGCTCCATAAATATTTTTGCCATTCAAATACCTACTTTTTTAACATAAAGAGATAGTCCTACTGTATGTACTATCTGTAATTTATTTTTACTTAATAATACATCTGTCTGTACATATAGTTCTGTCTCATTCCTTTATAAATTATGTTATTTCATAGACTATATGGTTTGATTTCTGGGTCAATGCTGGTTAAAAGTTACTTAACCCATCAAATTTTACTGCTATAAAAGAATCTGGAGCTAATATATAGTCCAAATTCTTTTATATAGGAAACCATTTTTTCTACTGAAAACTTTTCTAGTTTTTAACTATCTAGTGATATTACAAAGAGCATTCTTATGGTTTATAAGGATTATATTTCACACTGGAGAGTTTATAAGAAAAGTAATAACAGGTGACGTTGCTGGGTTAACAAGTATGAATATTTGACACAATATACTTCCAAATTGTTCTCTGAAGGTGTAGAAAAATTTGTATCAATATATAAGAATGCTCTACTATCTCATCTAGCACTTAATACTATTAATCATTTTAACTTAGGCTCTTTGATTAGTGAAAAATAATGTCTAGCTTTAATTTACATTTATTTAATTTCTTCTGAAATCCAAAACCTTTTTATATGTTTATTAGCCAGATGTTTAGTTGCCTCTTCATAATCTTGTTTTCTGCCCCCTTCTCTTCTCCTCCCTCTCTCATCCTCCTTCTTTCCCTCACTTCATTTTGGTACTCAGGATCAAACCCAGGGCTTGGCACATGCTGGATAAACACTTTGCCACTGAGCTTTACCTCCAGCCCTATTGTCTGTTTGCTATTGAGTATTTTTTACATTTTTCTTATTGGTCATAGATATCCTCTCTATATTGGAGATATATTGACCAAACCTTTTAATTCTGTCTAGCAAAGAATTAGTCGTTGGCTTATTGTTGCTAATATTTTCTCTTAATTTGTTGCCTATCTTTTAGGCTCATTTTTGGTACCTTAAGTTTACATCTTTTGTGAAACCATATCTGTCTCTTTATTATGGCATCTGATCATTATATTTTGCTTAAGAATATTCTTGAAACTCAAGATTAGTTTATTTTCCTATTTTCTTCTATTTGTTTATTTTTTAATACTTAAATTTCTAATGCATCTGAAATATTTTTGAGGCTCCAAAAGATTGACCAAGAAGTTGGAAGTGGTCATAATACATGAATTAGCCATAACTCATCAAGTAAGATCATTTGTTTTAACTTCATTGTTTTGTAGGTGAGCAAGTTGAGATCCAGAGAGCCTAGAATGACTTTGCTCAGAATAATTCATGTTAGAATTAGATATATGATAGCATTAGTTTTCATTTCCCTGTACTTCAAAGACTTTTGGTAAACAAAACAGAACAAAACAAAACAAACAAACAAACAAAAAAAAAACAGGTGTTTTTGGTCACTTCTCTCTGGTTAAAGGGTATACAAATGGGCTGACTTTCATAGTTTCAAGTCTAAATGAGCCAGTTCCTTTCATCAAATATGAATAGTAGTTAAGTCACTCTATTATATTAGGTATTGGGATTATAAACCCTTCCCTTTATTTTTTTTAATAACATATATGGTGCTGAGGATCAAACCCAGGGCCTTGCACATGTGAGGCAAGTGCTCTACTGCTGAGCCATAACCCCAGCCCCATAAACCCTTCCCTTTATATGAGCAGAAGTTTTGAATGGCTTTTAGGTATATTCCCACTGAAATTTATTTTTTACAACTATATACTACCTCAGGAATTGTGTAAACTCAGAACTATTGCAGAAAGCATGTAACAATTAAATTTGGTCCCATTTTTCCTTTGGGAAAGAGGAAAGACAATATTTTAAAGAAAAATTGAAATAATAAAGGTAATCCCTATAGTTGACTTCTTTTTTCTCTCTCTAGGATTAGATGCCAGCTACTTCTTGATTAGAGAGCAGCAATGTTTTTATTCCTACTGATAAAGGCTACCTTTTTATAGCCCAAGCACTCATTCCCTTGTCCTTTTTTTTGATACATACATACATATACACACATGTGTGTACACATATGAAAGTGATGTAATCAGTGATTTAGCAATATAAAAATCCCAGATAGCTTATTATGAAATTGCTTGAGCAACTAAATTTGAAAAACTGATGCTGTAATACCAACTTTTCACTCCCTTTTTAGTGTGTAATTTTCCCTTGTTCTTCTGTGGACTCTTTCACCTTTCTCCTGCCCCTTCACTTTGCTCTTTTTCCCGTTTTCTGTAGTCCTCTCTCTCCTTTTATACCTTTCTTTCTTTATATGCCTTTTCCTAATAGTTATGAATTATTGAATAGTTCCCACACTCCCCAGTACTGAGAATTGAACCTAGGGGTGTTCTACCTCTGAACTATAGCTCCATCCCTTTTTATTTTTAAAATTTTGAGTTAGGATTTTGCTAATTGCTAAGGCTGCCCTTGAACTTGGCCAACCTCCTGCCTCAGCCTGTGGAGTTGCTGGAATTATAGGCATGTGCCTATAATGCCTGGCACTATTCTGTAGCTTAAAAAATCGTTCATTAAGCTGGATGTGGCGGTGCAAGCCTGTAATCCCAGTGACTGGGGAGGCTGAGGCAGGAGGATTGCAAATTCAAAGCCAGCCTCAGCAAAAGCAAGGTGCTAAGCAACTCAGTGAGACCTTATCTCTAAAGAAAATACAAAATAGGGCTAGAGATATGTTATTAGCCTAGTGCCCCTGAGTTCAATCCCTCGTTCCCAGAACCCCCTAAAAATATTGTTCAATAAATACACTTTGTTATTCCTAATTTTCAAGTTGGGGACTAAAATCTTTATAATTTTATTTTCCCTTTACCAGCCCTCTAATATTAGCAAAATAAAAGTCTGTTTAATGTAGTAGGTCTTTGGGTTAACCTTTTTGTTGGATTTGCCAGGCAAACATGCTCTTAATAAATAGTTTTAAAAACTGAAAAAAGTTACAGAAAGTTTCTTGGTTTTATTGGACTGAAATGTACACATCCTTGTGATTTATTCCTGATAGTTGTAGTCCTTCCCTTGCACAGAGCAAGTATTAATTCTTTGATAACCAGGGGGAAAAAAAAAAACTAGGCTCTTCTCCAAACCAAACATATCCAGTTTTTTCAACTTTGCTGCAAATGGCATTCTAGCAATATTCAGCTTTTGAAAAATTGCAGAAACTAATAACTCATAAAATTTTACCTGTTTTCCCCCCAGATTTAATTCAGGTAGCTTTTTTCACCTGTTCATTTGACCTGGCAATTAGAGGTGTCAAATCTCCTTGGTGTGATGTTTTTGACATAGATGATGCAAAGGTGAGTATTACTTTTGCAGTTACTTCATGGTTTAATGGGGCTTTTTGTTTGTTTGTTTGTTACTTAAAGCAGCTTTTCTGAAAATAAGCAAAGTTAGGGAGCATAAATTGTCTTGTGACTATTTTCCTTATAAATAGAAATTAACGTTCAAATAGGTTTCACTTACTTGTAAAAAGTTCATAAAACTTGGGAAAACATTTTTTTTCATGATTTGATTTCTAGGGCTCCTCAGTTTAAAACCTTTTCAACCCTTCATCAAATTTTACTCCTGGAAGGGTATATAATCCAAATTATTATTTTTATAGAAAGCCAAACTTCAGAACAAGTGATTTTCCAAAGACCTAACTGTTCTTACATAGAAATTTTCATGGGAAATTGAGTTCTGTGTTCCACCTGGTGGTGGCAGTAATTCACTTACAATTCCTGTCTGCTTACCTCATTTCCCTCTTTTGCTCTTCATTTTCTGACTGATTTTTTAAGGTCAGATTCAGATTAAACGTTTTTGACAAGAATTCCACATAAGTGATATATCCTTTCAGTGCATCACATCAGAAGGAATGTCGGTCTGTTACATCTTTGATAATGATATGTTTGATCATTTGATTAAAGTATTGCCTGCCAGATTTTTCCATTGTGGAAGTATCTTTTTCCCTCTGTAAATAAAAGGCTTATTTAAAGAATCATGACTTGAAAACTCAAAATACATGTATATTAAATTAATTGAATTTTTATATGTAAGAATAAATTTAATTTTTTATTTAAAAATATGAAGTTATCTTTTGATTTAGGAATTTCCTATGATTTTTTCTTTTATTAGTAATTTAATATAAAATAATTTATCCCTGCTTAGCACTTGCACTGTGTAATAATAGGTTTACATACTAAAGTATTTACAGATGAAATAAAATGGTGTTTGAAATTTGTTTGAATTCAGTGGTGGAGGCAGGAACATAGCTGAAATAGGATTGGTCAAATATCGATTATTGTTGAAGTTGGATGATGGGTACACTTGGGTACTACTTGTTGTACTACTATTCTATACTTTTATATGTTTGAGATTCTCCATTAATATATTTTAAAATTAAAAATAAATAGGTACTTTTGAAATTCTGAGAATTATACAAATTATCTAGGCCTTGTGACATGCTGGACCATATGTGCTTTCTTTTAGCCAACATTTCTCGAATTCCTGTTCTATGCCAGATACTTGCTTGGAACTGAAGATGACTAACATTAAGATAGCATTATCTTCAAAGAATGGCAGAAGGAGTGAAATAAAGCCATTTATAATATAAGTATATATAAGATATAGTGGTGCACAAAAGGAAGTTGATTAAATGGTCGTCAGGCAAATCTTTACAAAAGAAATGACACATGTTTTTCTGGGGGATAGCCTATTTTGCAACTTTGTACATACCTTCTAAGGTAATGAGTGTATCTAGATTGTCTATCATTTCTAGGTCAATTTTGGTATCTAATATTTTTCTATCAGATATCCATGGCTGGGCATGGTGGTGCAGGGTAGTCCATGCCTGTAACCACGGGGACCTGGGAGGTCAAGGCAGAAGGGTTGCAAATCAGAGGCCAGTCTGGAAAAGTTAGTAAGACCCTGTTTCCAAATAAAAAAAGGGCTGGGGATGTAGCTCATTGGTAAAATGCTGTAGGTACAATCCTCAATACTAGAAGGAAACAAAGAAAGGAAGCAAGGAAAAGTCCATGTCATTCAGATTTGCAGGATTATTTGCAAAGTTGCCCAGGTTGGCTTCAAACTTGCTTCCTGAGTAGCTGGGGTTATGAGTGTGTACCATTGGACCTGGCTTATTTTAAATCTTTTTTTTAACTTTATGTTTACTTTGTCCCTTTTGCTAACTTCTAGAATTAATTGTCTCTTTATTATATTTTGGTTTTGGTATATGGCACTGGCCTACCCCTGGGCTTAAACTTATTATGACTTGTACTTAGTTTTTATAGAAGCTTATCATCTTTAAATGCTTAAAATTCTGATCCAGCCATGCATAGTGGCACATACCTGTAGTTCCCAATGACTCCAGAGGCTAAGGCAGGAGACTGCAAGTTCAGTTCGAGGCTAGCCTGAGCAACTTAGCAAGACCCTGTCTCAAAAACTAAAAAGGGCTGGAGGTATACCACAGCAGTAGAATGTTTGCCTAGCATGTGTGAGACACTGAGTTCAATACACATACCCTACATACACCGAAAGTTAATTTCTTAATCTTCTGTTAATGTCTTTCTATGCTATGTAATGAAAACTCTTCCAGGTACTTTTTTTTTTCTCTGTATCTGTCTTTGCTATCATCTTAATGTAATTTTAGAAGAAAGAGGAGCTAACTGCATGTTCTTAATCCACTCTCCTAACCTGCCATGGATGATGGATTATTAGATTTGAAGATTTACTAACTTGTTTGGCCCACAAGCCTTGATTCAAATTTGTGATGCAGCAAAAGTTATTGTGTGTCATATACCTTCAGCGCTAACTCTTTAATGCATGATATTAAAATCTAAATGCTAAGATTCTACTGTATTTTGTACAGAATGATAATATGACTGTTTCTGGGGAAATGTTATTAAATTAGAAAATCTCTAACATTTATGAAAATGTATTAGAAATAATATTTGAAATTTTTATTTTTAGGTATTAGAATATCTAAATGATCTGAAACAATATTGGAAAAGAGGATATGGATATACCATTAATAGTCGATCCAGCTGCACCCTCTTTCAGGATATCTTTCAGCACCTGGACAAAGCAGTTGAAGAGAAGCAAAGGTAAAAGCTATAAAATTTTGAAGTAAATTCTGAGATTGCTATTAAACTTCTGGAAAATATTTTATAATTGATGATTTTTTTTTTGTCTTTTTAAAATTCTGATTTGTTATATGTGACAGCAGAATGCATTATAATTCATATTACACATATAGAGCACAATTTTTCATATCTCTGGTTGTATACAAAGTATATTCACACCCTTCGTGTCTTCATACATATACTTGGGGTAATGATGTCCATTTCATTTCACCATCTTTCCCGCCCACATACCCTCCTTCTTCTCCCTCCCCTTTGCCTTATCTAGAGTTCATCTAATCCTCCCATGCTCCCCCTCTCAACCCCATTATGAATCAGCCTCATTATATCAGAGAAAACATTTGGCATTCATTTACCTGCAAATGCCATGATTTTTTCTCTTTTATTGCTGATTAATATTCCATTGTGTATATATACCACATTTTCTTTATCCATTCATCTGCTGAAGGGCATCTACGTTGGTTTCACAGTTTAGCTATTGTGAATTGTCCTTCTATAAACACTGATGTGACTGCAGTATACTGTTTTTAAGTCCTTTGGGTATAGACCGAGGAGAGGGATAGCTGGGTCAAATGGTAGTTCCATTCCCAATTTTCCAAGGAATCTCCATACTGCTTTCCATATTGAGTGCACCAATTTGCAGTCCACCAGCAATGTACAAGTGTGCCTTTTTCCCCAGTTTCTCGTCAACACTTGTTTGTGTTCTTAATAGCCACCATTCTGACTGGAGTGAGATGAAATCTTAGAGTAGTTTTGATTTGCATTTCTCTAATAGTTAGAGATGTTGAACATTTTTTCATATATTTGTTGATTGATTGTTTATCCTCTTCTGAGAACTGTTTGTTCAGTTCTTTGGCCCATTTATTGATTGGGTTATTTGTTTTTTTGGTTTAGCTTTTTGAGCTGTTTATATACCCTAGAGATTAGTGCTCTATCTGATGAGCGAGTAGTAAACATTTTCTCCCATTCTGTAGGCTCTCTATTTGCCCCACAAAAGATTGTTTCTTTTGTTGCGAAGGTTTTCAGTTTGAATCCATCCTATTTATTATTCTTGATTTTAATTCTTTTGCTATAGGAGTCTTAGTAAGAAAGTTGGGGCCTAATCTGACATATTGGAGTTTGGGCCTACTTTTTCTTCTAATAGATGCAGTGTCTCTGGTTTAATTCCTAGATCCTTGACCCACTTTGAATTGAGTTTTGTGCATGGTGAGAGAGAGGGATTTAATTTCATTCTAGCACCATTTGTTGAAGAGGCTATCTTTTCTTCAATGTATATTTTTGGTGCCTTTGTCTAAGATAACTGAAATTATGTGGGTTAGTCTCTGTGTCCTTTATTCTGTACCATTGGCTACCAGTCTGTTTTGGTGCCAATACCATGCTGTTTTTGTTAATTACTATTGCTCTGTAGTATAGTTTAAGGTCTGGTGTAGTGATGCCACCTGTTATACTCTTCTTGCTAAGGATTGCTTTAGCTTTTCTGGGTCTCTTATTTTTCCAGATGAATCTCATGACTGCTTTTTCTATTTTTATGAGGAATGTCATTGGGATTTTGATTGGAATTCCATTAAATCTGTATAGTGCTTTTTGGTACTATGGTCATTTTGACAATATTAATTCTGCCTATCCAAGAACAAGGGAGATCTTTCCATCTTCTAAGGTTTTCTTTAATTTCTTTCTTTAGCGTTCTGTAGTTTTCATTGTAGAGGTCTTTCACCTGTTTCATTAGGTTGATTTCCAAGTTTTTTTTTTTTTTTTTTTTTTTGAGTCTATTGTAAATGGGGTAGTCTTCCTCATTTCCCTTTCAGAGGATTTGTCACTGATATACAGAAATGCCTTTGATTTATGGGTATTGATATTGTATCCTGCTAATTTGCTGAATTAATTTACTAGTTCTAGAAGTTTTCTTGTGGAATTTTTGGGGTCTTCTAGGTTTAGAATCATATTTGTCAGCAAATAGTGCTAATTTGAGTTCTTCTTTTTCTAATGAATTTCTTTCTTCTGTCTAATTGCTCTGGCCAGTGTTTTAAGAGCTATGTTAAATAGAAGTGGTGAAATAGGGCATCCCTGTCTTGTTCCAGTTTTTAGAGGGAATGCTTTCAATTTTTTTCCCTTTAGAATGATGTTGGCTGGGGCTTAGCATAGATAGCTTTTACAATGTTGAGATATGTTCTTGTTATCCCTAGTTTTTCTAGTGTTTTGAACATGAAGGGGTGCTATATTTTGTTAAATGCTTTTTCTGCATCTATTGAGATGATCATATGATTCTTATCTTTAAGTCTATTGATGTGATGAATTACATTTATTGATTTCCCTATGTTCAACCAACATTGCATCCCTAGGATGAACCCCACTTGATCATGGTGCGTGATCTTTTTGATATGTTTTTGAATTCGATTTGCCAGAATTTTATTGAGAATTTTTGCATCTATGTTCATTAGAGATATTGGTCTGAAGTTTTCTTTCTTTGATTGTGTCTTTGCCTGGTTTTTGGAATCAGGGTGATATTGGCCTCATAGAATGAGTTTGGAAGTGCTTCAACTTTTTCTATTTCACAAAATAATTTGAAGAGTATAGTTATTAGTTCTTCTTTATATGTCTTGTAGAACTCAGCTGTGTATCCATCTGGTCCTGGGCTCTTCTTGGTTGGTAGGCTTCTGATGACGTCTTCTATTTCATTGCTTGAAATTGATCTGTTTAAATTGTGTATATCATCCTGATTCAATTTGGGCAAATCATATGACTCTAGAAATTTGTCAATGCCTTCAGTATTCTCTATTTTATTGGAATACAAGTTTTCAAAATAATTTCTAATTATCTTCTGTATTTCTGTAGTGTCTGTTGTGATATTTCCTTTTTCATCATGTATGTTAGTAATTTGAGTTTTTTCCTTCTCTTTGTTAGCATGGCTAAGCAATTTTATTTACCTTTTCAAAGAACCAACTTTTTGTTTTGTCAGTTTTTTCAATGGTTTCTTTTGTTTGAATTTCATTGATTTCAGCTCTGATTTTAGTTATTTCCTGTGTTCTATTGCTTTTGGTGTTGATTTGTTCTTCTTTTTCTAGGGCTTTGAAATGTAATGTTAGGTCATTTATTTGATGACTTTTCTTTTTTAAGGAATGAACTCTATGCAATGAACTTTCCTCTTAGCACTGCCTTCATAGTGTCCTAGAGATTTCAATATGTTGTATCAGTGTTCTCATTCACCTCTAAGAATTTTTTAATCTCCTCCTTGATGTCTTTTGCAACCCCTTGTTCATTCAGTAGCATATTATTTAGTCTTCAGGTGTTGGAGTAGATAATTGATGATTTTTATAAAATGCTTATTTAGTTTTGTTTTTTCAAAATTTTAACATAATTATTGATACCATTCAAATAATATATATTAGTTTTACATGGAATCATACTGCTTATTGTCTTCTGGACTTGCTTTTTTCCTTCAACATTATGTTTAAAATATTCAGTATACTACTGCATATTGCTGTGGTTCATTTTTACTAGAGTACAATATTCAGTATTGTGAATGTACTACAATTTATACCATCTACTCTTGCCAATGGGCATGTAGATTTTTTATTATAAATAGTATAATCATGAAATTTTATTATACATGTCTTCTTTTAAGAATACAAAATATTTTTATTTTAAAATAGAGTTTCTCATCAAATTGCCTTTGTTAGCTAGGCACAGTGGCACTTGTCTATAATCCTAGTGGCTCAGGAGACTGAGGCAGGAGAATCACAGGTTCAAAGCCAGCCTCAACCATTAAGCGAGACAATAAGCAACCTAGTGAGACCCTGTCTCAAAATTAAAAAAAAAAAAAAGGCAAAAGAAAATGGGGCCAGGGATGTGGCTCCATGGTTAAGTGCCCCTGAGTTAAATTCCTGCCACCAAAATAAATAAAATAAACAAACAAGTAAAACCCTTTGTTAACATTTATACTTTTTTTTTTTTCTTGTCAGTACTAGACACCAAACCCAGAATCTTGAGCATACTAAGTAAGTACTGTACCACTGAGTACATCCCAAGTTCTTTTTAGTTTTGAGACGGGGGCTTACTAAGTTGGCTAGGCTGTCCTCTAACTTGTGATCCTCCTGCCTTGTTTTCCAGAGTAGCTGTAATTGCAAGCATGTGCCACCTCACCCAGCCCCAAGTGTTTTTAAAAATAATTGTTCATAGGGTTGGAGGTGTAGCTCAGCAGCAAGTATATGCTTAGCATGAGTTAGGCCCACTCAAAAAAATTTTCTTTTTATCACATGAACATTTGATAGGTTTTTTTTTTTTTTTTTTAGTTTTATTGACTTTTTTAAAAATATACAATAGCCGAATGCATTATAATTCTTATTACACACATAGAGTACAATTTTTCATCTTTGTATATAGAGTATGTTCACGCCAATTCATGCCTTTATACATATACTTTGCTTTTTTTTTGCATTACAATTCTTATTACACATATATACCACAATTTTTCATGTCTCTGTTTATATATAAAGTATGTTGACACCCAGTTGGAGTCTTCATACATGTATTTTGTACCATCACATTCCACTGCCCTTTCTAATCCTCTGCCCCCTCCCTTTCCCTCCCATCCCTCTTCCCTATATAGAATTTATCTAATCCTCCCATGCTCCCCTCCCCACCCCACTATGAGTCACCCTCCTTATATCAGAGAACACATTTGGCATTTGGTTTTTTGGGATTGGCTAACTTCACTTAGCATTATCTTCTCTAATGCCATCTATTTACCTGCAAATGCCATGATTTTATTCTCTTTAATGCTGAGTAAAATTCCATTGTGTATATATGCCTCATTTTTTAATCTATTCATCCACCGAAGGGCATCTAGGTTGGCTCCACAGTTTAGCTAATGTGAATTGTCCTGCTATAAACATTGATGTGGCTGTGTCCCTTTAGTATGCTATTTTTAAGTTCTTTGGGTATAGTCCTAGGCGAGGGATATCTGG